CACAGATCTGAAAGTAGCTCATGCAGTCCTTTTTCTCTCTGTTGATCTATCAGTAGTTGCTAATGAATTCCATGAGAGGTTCAGACCCAGTCTTGAGTCATGCCCTCATCAATGAGCCCACCAGTCTCCAAGGTCAGTTCTAAATTAGTGGACACATAGTAGGGCATATTTAAACTCAGTAAATCAGAGAACTAAATTAGCCAAGACCTTGAAAAGGTACTTCTAGAAGTGGAGTTAAAATGAATGGGGGAGGAAAAATAGTGTCTATACTAAGAGTAAACTGAGTACATTGCATTCAGGTAGAAATTGTCATAACACAAATTTAATGAAAGTTAAATTCCCAGTGCATCAAAAATCCAGTGTTACATATACCCCAAAACACTTTTACTTTTGTTCCAGTTCTACTCACCTATCAGTAAGTACTCTTCTGTTTCCACTTCCCTGGGTGAACATTCTTCTTTGCATACCCACTCTGGTTCTACATGTTATATTTTGATTATCATTTACTAAATGGGTAATATCAACTTATAAGTAAATACATATCATAATTGTCTTTCTGGGACTGGGTTACCTCACTGAGGATAATTTTTTCTATTTCTATCCATTTCCTTGAAAATTTCATGATATCATCTTTTTTAACAACTCAATTGTGTTTATGTACCACATTTTCTCCATCCATTCTTTGTTTGAGGGACATCTAGGTTGTTCATTTCTGGCTACTACTAATAAAGATACTATGAACATAGCTAATAAAGTGTCCTCATTGTAGGGTTAGTGTCCTTTATGGGTGGACTATGGGCAGGTGGGAACAAGAACAGGAAGTATCAGTATGAGGGGAAGATGGAATGACAGGAGAGAGTGTGGGAAAGATGGCAGGAATTTGGGAGGCAATTGGGGGACTGTTAGAAGTTTTGAGAAGGGACACTTCCCAGAATCTATGAGGGTGACCCTAGTGAGTGCTCCTAGTAATTGGAGATATGGCATCTGGATTGGCCATCTCTTGTAGCCAGACAATACAGTAGTAAGAGTAAGTTGCATTCAGTTGAGTATTGTTCAGAGGGGTCCCATCAAGATCCCCAAACAGCCCAGGCTGATACTAGGACTGACAATTGCTCTCTCAAAATTGGCAATGGGGACCCCATTGCAGAAGACAATCATCACACAGCTTATTGAACATAAAGAGGACAAGCTAGTGACTGCATGGGGTCATCATCCCTAAGTTCTAGGCTTTCTTTGTGTGTGAAGGCACTTTGCAAACTATGGAGATAGAAATATGGACACCAACCCAGTCATAAAACATTTGACCTACAATCTGTCCTACCCACAGAGTTTGCTGGAGCAATGTTGGCACAGAATTTGTGGGAGTATCCAATCAATGTCTGATTTATCTTGAGGGTCACACCACAAGAGGGAACCCACACCTGACACTGCTTACATGACCAGGAACTGGAGGCTGGATAATCCAGAGATCTAGAGTAGAACCAAACACAACTACAAGGAAAATGAAATTCTTCCTAATGATCATCTGCCTTACACATTCATCATCAGAGAGGCTTGCTCCAGCAGCATATGGGAGCCGGGAAAGACACACACAGCCAGACATCATGTAGAGAGAGTCTAAATTGGAGGTCTCCATCAGGTCCCTAACCTAGAGATGAAGGAAATCCATAGAAGGAAAGGAAAGACTGTAGAAGGCAGAGAGAATGAAGGGCACTAGGAGAACATGGTCCACTGAATCCAATAAGCAGAGCTCATATGTGATAAACAAATCCTAAATTGGCAAACAAAGGGCCTGCATAGGTCCTCTGTTCATATATTGTGGCTCTTAGCCTGGTATTTTTGCAGGACTCCCCAATAGAGGAATGGTTGTGTCTTTGACACTTTTGCCTGTTTTGGGGTCTCTTTTCTTCCTGTTGGGTGACTTTGTCCACCCTCAGTGTGGGGGCCTTTACCTTGTCTTATTGTATTTTGTTTTGCCATGTTTTATTGTTGTCTCTTGGATGCCTGTTCTTTTGTGAAGATATGTGGATGGGGATTGGCTCCCAGGGAGAGGGAGTATCTGGGAGGAATGGAGGGAGGAGAAATTGTGGTCAGGATGTATTGTATGAGGGAAAATTTTTATTTGCAATGAAAACCAAAGTTGTAAAAAAAAAAAAAAAAAAAAAGAAAGAAAAAAGAAAAAAAGAAACAGTACCCTTTTTTCCTAAGGTAAGGTAGAGGAAATTGACTCTTCTTTTTGTTCATTTGCCTCAAATGTAAGGAGCAAACTCTGATATTTACATCTGTTTGTGTGGCTAATTTTAGTCAACATTATGTGGTGATATTCAACTCTCTTTGTATTTACTTCTGGATTATGAATTCTCTGTACTGGCTTCCTAGTAAATGTATTATAATGTTTTATCTGTTCTATTATATATGGATATTGAGTAATGTTCTCAAGTTAATTTCAAGTGGTGATTTTAGAGAGTTTTTCTAACACTTTTATTATATCTTTCTTAGTTAAAATATTAAATAATATGTTATTTGATAAAACAAATCTTGAAGAAAGCTGTAAGTAATCTGCCAAACCTATAAACCTCAATTCCTCTTAGTCATTTTAAGGTATCTTTAGTCTACTTAATAATTTAATTCCTTTCTGATGTAACATATTTTAGTTCAGTGTTTGAGGGGAAATATGCATGAAATAAGTTACCATGATGATAAATGAAACTTACCAAAAGTTATCAGAAGTTTGAATGCTTTTTAATGTGTTAAGAAAAGCCTATGGCACAGATCAGATCAAGGTGAGAAATGGGGCATTAGTAAACATTGATGACTATTTGCTGAACTGTCACTAATAAGTCCAAGTTTACAATGGGGAATAAAGGGAAGACCATATTAATCCTTAAGTCCTCTGGCAGGATTTATCACAAACATAAAATTCAGTGGAGGTTAAAGTTGTGTGCTCTCATATTGACCTTTCATGTACAAGGTGCAGTCAACCATGTTAACACATAGAATGAAAAGAGAAATTCCCATTGACATCATATTTACTTACCATCATAGTCATTGCTTTCAGATGCTATCAGCTTTAAACAGCTTTAATATATGTCATAATAAACATATTTGGCTTAATTACCCGCTCATTGTATTTTACGGATTCCCAGCAGGTCAACATGTAATGCTCTATCTTTTCGTTCTTGTAGTGTACCTGGTGTTCTTTTGCTTTTCTCAGATTATTCAGGAATCTTACCTATGTCCATAGTTGGGGTTTGTATTTGAATAATTAAAGTGGAGAGAAGTAGGCTAGGGAGATCAATCAGCTTGTATAATATTTCCATTACAAAGACCTGTATCTTTTCCCTACAATCTACATAAATATACATATGTTCCTGTGATCCCAGCATAAGAGAAGCAAGGAACAAAACAGATCTCTTGAGATCCCTGTTCAATTAGCTTAGCCTAATTTAGTGAGTAGTAGACTTCTAGGATACTTTAGATGTCATCTGAGAAAAGACACCCAAAGTTGTCACTTGGTTTCCCTATTCATATACATACACATGCACACACATGTATACCTGCACACACACAAAAGTATATACACAAAACCAATGAACACATACATGATCTTTCATTACTGTATTATCTTTATCAAAACCTCTTGTGTGTGTGTGTGTGTGTTGTGTGTGTGTGTGTTGTGTGTGTGTGTGTGTGTGTTTTTTTTTTGTGTGTGTGTGTGTGTGTGTGTGTGTGTGTGTGTGTGTGTCTGTGTGTTGAGGAGGTTCTCTTGTTCTGTCTGGTCCTGCCACCCTTCAGCCTCAAATGAACACATGAACACTATTTTAGTTATAAAACTGTTGGCTAGTGGCTTGGGCTTATTATTGGCAAGCTCTGTCTTAAATATTAACCCATAACTACTGATCTATGTATTTCAACATGGTCTTATGTAACGAGTAGATTTCCCTTCCACCAGTCCCACCACCATGCCTGCCCCAAATAACACACAGACACACTGTATTAGGTATAATGCTGTTGGCCAGTCACTAGTTTCTTATTGGCTAGCTCTGTCTTAAGTATTAACCCATTTCTGTTCATCTAAGTATTTCCACGTGGTCTCATCTTACCGGGGAGTGGGGCCGGTGTCTGCTCTCCTCAGTCTCTCCATGTTGACTCCTCCTTACTACTTCCTCGAATCCTCCTTGTCTCCTAGTCCCACTTATCTTTCTTTCCTATTGGCCAACAGTGCTTTATTCATTAAAGGTCTGAGAAAACATCAAGTTAACAGAGGTCTTAACTATGGTGACACTGAAGCTTGGGTAGGAGAAGCCATCTCAAAGGTTTGAAAAGATATCAAAATGTCAGATGTTTTAACTGTAGTAAGATACATCTAAAAAGAAATTGTAGGCAAATTATTTCTAGAAATAACTCTCCCAGGAATGAATTGAAAAGAATTCCTCAGCCTCCTGGGTTATGTAGAAGGTGTGGCAAAGGCCAACACTGGACCAATGAATGTAGATCGACCAGAGACAAGCAAGGAAACCCTTTACCATTGGTAAACTCCTTGGGGGGGCCTATTGAAGGTCACCATGTCAAATGTGGTCTGAACGTCCCAGTTACAATGGAGGACAATCTCCCACAAAGACAATTAGAACATTCTGCACCTATTGTAAAAACTCATACCGCTCTGGATGATAAACTATTGAAGGAAGTTGAATCAAACATGAAAGAAGGAAACAAAAAATGTGTATTTTGTCAAAACTCTATAAATAGTCATAGGCCTAGATTGATAGTTAAAATGAATAACAGACTGTTTAGAGAAATAGTGGATATGGGCAGCTGTTGATGCACAGGCCTGCGGAGGCAGCCCCGTGTGTGATCCTGTTTTGGAGAGCTTTCAACTCTGGGGGAAAAAAACATTTGTCTTAAGTTGGTGGACAAGTGAGTCGATAATTATACCCTGCAGAAGATAGGAGAAGAGGCAATATTTAATCCTCAACTCATGATACAGACTCCAAAAGAAGGCGCTAATGTCCTAACCACAGAGGCCCTCCTACAACACCTGGACTCAGCACTCTAGGCCAGCCATGTGCACGGCTACATGTATAACAGGCAATGGAAGTTGGAACATTTGTGCTACAAATCGGGGGAACTTATCACAGAGACAGGTTACATGGATCAGATAATAGAATACATGTACCCTTGCTTAATCATTATACCTTTGGACTGCTTCTGGGGAGGGGTGAAGTTGCAGTCGGGGACAGCGTACCTCCTAAGTAAGCCTCCTTTGCGATGGACAAATTTTGACCCCTTGGAATTCCTAGAAGAGTTAAAGAAAATAAACTACCAAGTGGACAGCTGGGAGGAGATGCTGAATAAAGTTGAAGTTGGTCATGGGTACATGTACCAGCCCTGCCTCAACCCAGCCGACCCAGATTGCCCCACCACAGCCACCAACAAAAATTCAACCAAACCTCTTGATGTGGCCTTTGTTTTGAATGGTGGATGTCAAGGTTTATCCAGGAAGTATATGCATTGGCAGGAGGAGTTGATTGTGGGTGACATAGTCAAGAATGCCACTGGAAAACTGGTCATACCCTGCAGACCATGTTCCAGTTAATGACTTCCAAGCAAATGTATGAGCACTTCAGGGGCTATGCGTACTTCCCTCATATCAACTGGAATGAGGATAGGGCAGCAGCCATCCTGGAGGCATGGCAAAGGACTTATGTGGAGATGGTTCACCAAAGCATTGCACCTAATTCCACTCAGAAGGTGCTCTCCTTCAGTCTCGACTTACCAGAGAATTGTTGGCCTACTAGTCATTTGCCTGCTACATGGGAAATAAATTTGGTGCCTCTCCCTGCCTACCTTTCCCAGAATTCTCATCTCAATCCTGCCTACCTTCCTATCTCATTGGCCAGACAGGTTTATTCACCAACAAATAAGAGCAACATATATATATATATATATATATATATATATATATATATATAGAGAGAGAGAGAGAGAGAGAGAGATGAACAACCCCTATCATGTGTGCCCGTGTGTGTGTGTGTATGTGTGTGTGTGTGTGTGTGTGTGTTGTCTTGTCCATGTGTCTGTAGCAATGTGTGTATGGATACCAAGGGAAGCTGGGATAGGCACCACATACCTAGAACTGGAGTTACAAAGAGTTGTTAGGTACCTGTTGTGGGTTCTGAGAACTGAACAGATAACCTCCGAAAAGCACCAAGTTCTCTTAACCTCTTATCCCCTTAACATATCGCCATCTCCCATTAAAAAAAAATTCTCTATGGCCCTTTCTGAGTACCCAATACTGGTGCTCAGCCCCTCACCCTTCCTTCACTAACAGATCTCCAGCCCCAGTAGAGGTAGGCATCTAAGTAAAGATAGACTAAGTTTATTGCAATGACAAGGGAGCTGCACAACAACAGTGAGTGTAAATCATAACCAGGAGATATTTAACTCATTTAAGAACGCCTAGGGCCAGTTTATAGCCAGCTATGAATATATGCATCTATCAGATAGACCTGATATTTGCTCTAACTCTCTACTTATCTACTTCCTTATGAGTGCTCTGTTCCCTGACATGAATTCCTAAGCAGTTTTTATCCATTCATTTCTGGTTTTGAAATGACTCAAACTCTCTGTAAGCTGACTGGTGAACACTAACTGAACTCTAAAATACGGCAAGATTTAGAGGAGAGGGGCTTTAATTTTACACTTACCCTACTTGCTTCCTTTTCTATCCTTTCATTTGATAATCTCCATTACCTTAGCCATGTGCATCCTAACACTCACAAAGACTTTACTATTAAATATTTAATATATTTACTACAGTTTTGTTACCCTGGCATCATGTCTAAATGAAGGAAAAAAGTTTAGGCACTATATGGGGGAAATAAATTCTGAGGCCTGGGGTATGTTATCTAAAAGGCAATTACTCTGTAAGATTTATGCTTAGTTTACTTGGTACCTTAGAATATATATAGTTGGCATCAGTCATAAAGACCCTACTGAGAACTTCATGATACCTAAGTGGGTCTTTAATCACATTCTATTGACATTTTATTTCTCAGATGATAAAGAAATTCCTTCTCTAAGTTATCCTTTTACATCACAATTTTTAACTGTTCTCTCCTCTTAGTACTTTTTAATAAGGCATGTAGCAGATAATGCATTCTTAATTGCTATGTGCTTAGTTAAAGAAGTGAGAGACAGCACTCAGTGTTTGTTTTTTTATTTTTTATTTATTTTTCTTATTTTACATATTGATCCCAGTTCCCTATCCCTCCTTCTCTCCCGCCCTAAGTCATACAGATGGATGGGGATATGTTAAATTGGGACTTGAAATGAGGTCTTACCATCATGCAAATTTAATGTGGTAACAGTTCAAGAAGTCAGTGTTTCTGCCTGCAAAAATAATCTTTTAGTTATATTGCAGAAGGTTTATAGAATGCAATGGTTAGGTCGAATTCCCTTTGAGGTGTCTTACACCATGTGCTATGTCCTGCCTAAGTTGCTGCTTAGTAAATATTAAATATAGAAATATATGTGATCTTGAAAATATTTAAGATTGGTAAAGAAACTCCATTGCCTCTTTAAGTCTCATCTAAGTTGATATATTATTTGCTGTATTTACTTTTACCAAAGAAATAAAACTATTCATATTGGTGTGAATAGTGCAAGTAGACCTACATACTTCCTTCTGTGTCTTTCAGAGAAAGAGGGTGATAGTTATGTAACTGGGACAACAGCTCTGCCTTTCTTATTCTTCCAAGGCTGATTACATTATAACCACATTATCTCTGCATGGGCACTGAATAGAGAATTTTACTGACCTCTGAACAAGACATTACTTACTATGAGAAACTTATAGATTTCAGACATAACAGTTACTCAAATAATTTTGTTTACATATTAGCCAATCATACCATGAAAAAGTAAATTTGCACAATTCATTTATGTTAGCAATGACGAAAAATGGAAGGACATAAATATATTCCTATCCACCACAAAATTTGCCTATATTGGCTTGACTAAACTGAGATTTAAAAATGTACTTCTCATTGGCCCAATATTTCCAGTGAAAACTTCAAGTCTTGGACATGTTAACAACATAAACATTTGATATAAAAAATTCAAGTCAAAGGTAAATATGCTTCAGAGACTCTTGATGGGAGAATTCTATTGTGCTTGATCACATTACTTGTTTGCTATAGTCTGTTCATTGGTGAGTGTCCAGAGGCAAGCAGAGATTATAATTTAGCTATGGAAAATATTCTCATCATGAACCAAGATTAATTAGGACAAAAATGGAGACTCAGGTACCTGTTGTAACAGACATAGTGGTCAAAAAGCCTGAGCTTTGCTACTCAGCAGGAAAAACAACAAATAATGACTGTGAAACTTCATAGCAGAGGTACTGACATGTATCTTTCAACTGCTATAAATGGATGTTTTATTGAAATAGAGGGTTATATCAGATTATGCATGCATCTGCAAGTTTGAATAATTGAGAGTCACCAAGCAATATTTGAGAAATGTTGATACTCACTATAAATATGTTTATAAATTAGGAAACGAATACCTGTCAAGATGCAGTGTTCATAATGCTGCATCAGAAACTCTAGATTCCATGATCATAAGTATGTACTTCCCAAGGACAATTTTATGGCTAGCATTAAAAGTCACTCACTGGTAACTTAGAGAGTTGTTTTTATTTGCATTTCCCTGATAGCTAAGGATGCTGAGCACTTTCTTAAGTGTCTTTTAGCCATTTTAGATTCCTCTATTGAGAATCCTCTATTCAGTTCTGTACCCCACTTTTAATAGGGGTATTTGGTGTTTTGGTAAATATTTTCTTGAGTTCTTTGTATATTTTGGAGATAAGTCCTCTGTCAGATACAGAGTTGGTGAAGAACTTTTCCCAATCTGTGGGCTGCTGTTTAGCATCCTCAACTGTGTTCTTTACTTACAGAAGTTTGTCATTTTCAGGAGGTCCCATTTATTAATTGTCTATCCCAGTGTCTGTACTACTGGTGTTATGTTCAGGTAGCAAGAAGAAGTCTTCTGTACCAATTTGTTCAAGGATACCTCCCACTTTCTCTTCTTATTTATTAGTTTATTTATTTATTTATTTATTTATTTATTACATATTGATCCCAGTTCCCTCTCCCTCCCTGATCTCTCCCTCCCTCTTTCCCTCTCTCCTAACCTCTCATGCCATCCAACCACCCTCCACTCCCATCCATCCACCCCCATTTCACATGTAGGGCCATGACCTCCAGAAGGGATCATTTATCTGTCAAGTCATTTGGAGTAGGGACTAGGCCTTCTCTCCTGTCACTAGATTAAGGGAGTATCCCTCCATGAGGGATATGAACCCAATGTCCTTTTGTGCACAGGGAATACATCCTGGTCCCACTGGCTGAGGTCCCTTAGACTGCTCAGGCATTCTAGCTGAGACCCATATTCATGGGGTCTGAGTCAGTCCCACGCTGGATTCCCAACTATCAGTCTGGGGGCCCATTAGCTCCTCCTTGTTCAAGCCAGCTGTCTCTATGTGTTTCTGAAACCTGATCTTGTCCTCCCTCTCTGCATCTGGATTCCAGTTTAGCTCAATGTTTAGTTGTGGATGTTTACTTCTGTTTCCATCAGATACTAGATGAGGGCTCCATGATGATGGATAAGTTAGTCGTCGATCTCACTATAAAAAAAAAGTGCATTTATGGTAGCCTTCCCACTCTTGCTCATATTGTTAGTTTGGGTCAGTCTTGTAGAACTCTGAACATTTCTCTATGGTCCTACATATAATGGCACCCTCTTTATGTTCTCTCTCTTCTCTTGTCTATTTCTCCCTGTCTCAATCTTCCTAGTCCCACGTACTTTCCTCTCCTCCCATTCTCTTTCTCCTCTCTACTCACTGCCCCCTTCTCACTCCACATATGCTCAGGAGATCTTGTCCCTTTCCCCTTCTGTGAGGGACCTTATATGAATCCATTAGAATCCTCCTTGTATCCTAGTTTCTCTGGCAGTGTCAATTATAAGTTGGTGATCATTTGCTCTATGTCTAAAATCTATAAATGAGAGAGTACATACTATGTTCCTCTTTTTGTGATGGGGTTACCTCATTTAGGATGGTTCCTTCATGTTCCAGCCACTTGCCTGTGATTTTCAAGACTCTATTGTTTTTTTCCCCCACAGAGTAATATTCCATTGTGTAAAGGTGTTACATCTTCTTTATCCATTTTTCAGTTGAGGGGCATCTAGGTTGCTTCCAGGTTCTTGCTATTACAAATAATGCTGCTATGAACATAGTTGAACCGATGTCTTTGTTGCATAGATATGAATCATTTGGGTATATACCTAAGAGGGGGATTGTCAGGTCCTGTGGTAGACTAATTCCCATTTTCCTGAGGAACACCAAACTGATCACCAAATTGGCTGTACAAGTTTGCACTCTGCCAGCAGCAGTGGAGGAGTGTTCGCCTTTCTTCACATCCTCTCCAGCATAAGTTGTCATTGGTGATTCTATTTTAACTGGCAGGAGTAAGGTGGTATCTCAAAGTTGTTTTGATTTGCATTTCCCAGATAGCCAAGGATGTTGAGCACTTT